AGTCATCATTCCAGTTGGAATGGAAGCCACACGGAACAAATAGGTGTGGAGGATCAGCAAGCCAGGAAAGAAAGACTGACATGGCAATAACAACTCTCCACATTTATACAGTGTTTCCTATGTCCCAGGCACTTCCTTACATTATTTGTTTTAATCCTTACAACAGGCTGAGGGGTAGGTACATTTAAAAGATGTAGAAATGAAGCTTGAGGAGTTAAATGACTTGCCCAAGGCCTCCTTGTTGGTAAATGTAGAGCTGAGGGAATTGAATTGAGGCCTCTCTGACTCCAAAGTCTAAGCTCTTAACCACTCATGCTAATCATTAACCACACTTGCCTAACCATTGAATCTGTTCTTGGCAATCAATACTGGAGGCTAAATTCTAGACACGTACTGCATTTTATTTATTGCTTTGTTTTTATTTTTGTAAAAGCTAAATGTATAGTTCTCATCCTGTAAGATGAATGCTATCCTTCTCAACTCATCTTTTAGTTGTCAGCAGAAGTCCAGACTAAAAACCTGCTCTAGATAATATACAGGGACATCTGGACTACGTGTCTTCAAACTGGCAATTTTACTGAAGACACCGATGCCCAGAGTGGGCAGACCAGATAAGCAGCAGCCGTTACAGACTTGAGTCTGATGAAAAATACCACTTACTTCACTTATATTTGTAGGCTGTGCTATGGCTACCAGGCATGTCATATATATTCTTTTATTTGATCCTAAGGAAAATTGTGAGGTAGATAAGGTATGTAATATTATCTCTATTATACAGATGAAGAGGCACACCCAGAATCATTTTCCTATTAAGTTCTAGTCTTGAGAATCCAAATCCCAAATAAATGAACTTCTAGCCCTTTTAACCCTTCAAAAATACAGATGGAACTGGGCTCAAATCTTGACTCTACCACACATCTCTCGGAGCCTGCAATTTTCTCCCCTGTCAAATAAGGGATGAGGATGTCTACCTCACAGGACTGTGAAACTAGATCAAGTAATGTAGGTAAAGCCCTTTCAATAAAGAAGTGAACAGAACAGATGTAGATCCCGTCCTCATGGATCGGGATGGTGGGAGGTGAAAAAACAAATGTTCAGTGATTACACAACTTGATGATCAAGTTACAGTAATCATAAGTGTTATAAAGGAAAAGACAGAACACTCTGTAGGTGTACCATAGGATGAACTATCCTCCCGTGTGGCTGAGGGCAGGCCTCCCTCAGCAGTGACAGCCAAACTGAGACCTGAAGGATGAGTGGCAGTTAGAGAAGTGGGGGGGGGGGGGCAGGTGTGGGTTGTAGCAGAGAGTGTTCCAGGCATGAGGAGTATCAGTGAAGCATGGATGAAGAAGCTTGGTGACCTTGCAGATCAGAGAAATGACTTCTGTGGCTGGAGTGTAAGGAGCTCCAGGAAAAACGATGTGAAAGGATGCTGGAGAAATAGGCAATCTCCAGGCCATGTGGAGCCTTGCAAGACAAGTTAAAATTCTTGAACTTTAACCCAGGAGCAATGAGAAGTCATGGAAGGGCTTTAAGCAAGGGGCAACATTAGATGAGAGCTTTAAAAAGTCCAGTTCCAAAAAATAAAAATAAATAAATAAAAAATAAATAAAAAGTCCAGTTCCAAACTAGGGAAAGCTGGCATCTTTTTAAAAGCTTTCTTTTCTTTTTTTAAATAAACACATCTTTAGCATCCCTTACATTGCAACAGTGATATAGACTATGCGTTTGAAATATAAAATGAAAAGATTTAGACTGGGGCAAGTACCAGCCCCACCCTCTACTACTTTCAGGATCTAGGACAAGTCACCTCAAAGACTATCTCTGCTCTTGCTACCTAACACGGTTTCTTCTCTAACCAAAAGTTAACCTGCAGATCTTAAAAGTACTTTGAGAACGAGTGTACACACTTCTAGGGAGCTCATTTATTCATTGTTTTTGTCAAACAAATATTTATTAAGCATCAGCCACGTGCCCAGCATCATATTAGGTATTGGGGGTTCAGAGGTGGATAAGATACAGGCCCTATACTTTAAGAACTCACAGTTTGGGGTAGACATAGCAGAAAAAAAAAATAAGTAATCACTATGCTGTACACCTGAAAGTAATATAACATTGTGTGTCAACTATACTCCAATTTAAAAATTTTTAAATAAAATAAAAAGGGATGGAAGAAAATACATACATACATACATACATAAAAAGTAATGACAATAAAGTAGGATCTACTACAAGAGAAGAAGCAGGGAGGGAGTTATTTACAGAGCTTAGAGTCAGGGAAAATTTTTAGTAGAGGTGATATGCACATAGTATGTGCTTAATACATGTTGAATGAAAAGTTTGAGCTGTCTTTTTCCCCCAACTTTATTGATATATAATTGGCATATAACATTGTGTGAGTTTAAGATATACCATGTGTTGATTTAATACACTTCTATATTGCAAATGATTACTACCATAACATTTTTTTTAAAGATTTTATCTATTTAGAGAGAGAGAGAGAGAGAGAACGTGAGCGGGGGAGGGGAAGGAAGAGGGAGAGGGAGAATCTCAAGCGGACTCTGCGCAGAGTGCAGAGCCTAACATGGGGCTAGATCTCGCAACCCTGAGACCTGAGCTGAAATCAAGACTCTGGACACTCAACTGACTGAGCCACCCAGGCACCCCTACCACGATAACATTATTGAGCTGAGTCATAAAGGATGAAGGGAAGCCTACCAGACAATAAGAGGAGTAGGGAATGAATAAGATCACAGATACCATAAAAGTGACCTTTTCATATATAACTTTATCAGCAGTCAGCTAGATAGGTTGAAAGGGAGAGATTGTAGGTAAGGAGACCAAGTGAAAACCTGGGGCAATAATCCAGGTGAAAGGTACAAAGGACTTATTGTTCCCTCAGGAGTAATGGTGGCTGTACTCAGTTTGCTTGACAATAGGTTTTACTTGGTAGTACAGGGTATGGCTTGTAAGTGTTAATACATCTTCCCATGAATGGATGTCTGTTCACCTTCACGGGGGTAGAGACCATGTCATCTACTGAAATCCTTGTAACACCTAATGCTATGCTCTGTATCCATATGCACCCATCAAAAATTGGGTTGACCGTTGGATTCACTGAGTTGCGGTGGGAGTGGGGCAGCTGGAACAAGAGAAGTGGGAGAGTACTCCCCATCTGCCGGGCACCACAGGCACTCTTCCCTCCTATAAGGCAACATCTTAAACTCAGCCAAACCTCCTTCTTATTTTCACCCAAAAGCCTGTTATGTCCTTTTCCTTGTTCGGTCGCATCCATCTACCCTAGCTAGAAACCTCAAGATAATATTGGAAGCCAAGAACAAAGCTAGGGGGAAAAATCATTTTTCAGGCTTTTAAGAACTGTATTTTCCTCCAGGATCTTCAAAAGAGTTTTGCCTCTCATTCATACATAGAAAGAAGTCAGTGGGATCCTAAGATTCAACAATGCCACTTCTCTGAATCTACCCTAAAGACACACTCCCAAGTGTACATGAAGAAGTATGTATAAGTGTATTTTATATAAGAGATAAAAAGTGGAAATAGCCAGGGGCGCCTGGGTGGCTCAGTCGTTAAGCATCTGCCTTCGGCTCAGGTAATGGTCCCAGGGTCCTCGGATCAAGCATCAGGCTCCCCACTCAGTGGGAAGCCTGCTTCTCCCTCTCCCACTCTCCCTGCTGGTGTTCCCTCTCTCGCTGCGTCTCTCTCTGTCAAATAAATAAATAAAATCTTTAAAAAAAAAAAAGTGGAATAGCCTAAAAGTCAATTCATCCAACACATGCTAATAAACCATGTTCTGTTCGTGACACAAAATACTAGACAACTGCCAAATAAATGAAGTAGATCTATAAGTGTTAATGCGGCAAGCACTCCAAATTGATTGTTTAAGTGAGAAAGGCAATTTGAAGAATGATAGGTCTTATACCATTGGTGTGAAAAATAACCACCAATGAACCAAAATCCTGAAATAGTAATTTATTCCTTACAGCTATATACATATGCACTAAATGCATAAAAAATGGCCCGGGAGAATATGTACAAAAATACATACAAATCTGGTAACAGTGGTTACCTCTGGGAAGGTGGGTTGGGAACCAGGACTGGGAATGACAGTCAAAGAAATTTAGTGTTCTCTGTATTTAAATTTTTTTTTCACAAGTGTAATGGTGCATTTATGATTTAATGGAAGAATTTTTTTAAATTTTTTTTTTAAGATTTTTTATTTATTTGACAGAGAGACACAGCAAGAGAGGGAACACAGGCAGGGGGAGTGGGAGAGGGAAAAGCAGGCTTCCCGCTGAGCGGGGAGCCTGATGGGGGCTCGATCCCAGGACCCTGGGATCATGACCTGAGCGGAAGGCAGAAGCTTAACGACTGAGCCACCCAGGAGCCCCTGAAAGAATTTTTTTAAGGTAAGAAAATCATTAAGGATGTGCAGTACTATTTTTAGTAGTGAAAAGTTTGAACTACCTAATAGCGATAGAAATATTATTAAATCAATCATGATACAATCCACATGGCAGAACTTAATAAAAATGTTCATTTTTATGTTTGCAGATGTAAAGAAGTTAGTAATTCATAGTTCCACTTAAAAGGAACTACATACTAATTATGATGTTCTGAATTATCCCATTTTTGTTAACAAATACATATAAAAAAAGTTTGAGATATTTTTTATAAAAGGTATATAGTTGTTTCTACATCAATGGGATTCTGGTTGTGTTTTGCTTCTGTATACCCTGATTTTTCCCTAAGAAATAAGTGTGTAATAAGAAAAATTGTATTTTAAAAAATGTAAACGAAATGAGGGAATTGAACTGGGAGAAAGGTAAGAGGAAAAAATGCGTAATGGTGGATGGGAATAAGAAAGTAGGGGAAAGGGTACTTCCGGCGCGGCACGCCTCTACCGGTCGCCTGTCGAGTGGACCGAGTGCGGTACCCGAGCCCAGCCCGCCCCCAGCACCTGCTGCGGGCGCAGCTACACCATGCAGCGCCTTGATAAAAGAGCGCTGAATGCGCTGCAGCCGCCCGACTTCAGAAATGAAAGTTCACTAGCATCTACCCTGAAAACGCTCCTGTTCTTCACAGCTCTAATGATCGCTGTACCTATTGGGTTATATTTCACGACTAAATCTTATGTTTTTAAAGGCGCCTTTGGGATGTCCAATAGGGACAGCTATTTTTATGCTGCTATTGTTGCGGTGGTCGCCGTCCACGTGGTGTTGGCCCTCTTTGTTTATGTGGCCTGGAATGAAGGCTCACGACAGTGGCGTGAAGGCAAACAGGATTAAATTGGACATCACCTTTTGATAGCATTAAATTGATTTTTAAAAATGGTAAATGTGTCTGGGATATTGATTTCAATAAAGTTGAGAACATGTTAAAATCAAAAAAAAAAGTAGGGAAAAGATGTTTGAGGATTTTTTTTTTTAAGATTTTATTTATTTATTTGACAGAGACAGAGACAGCAAGAGCAGGAACACAAGCAGCGGGAGTGGGAGAGGGAGAGCAGGCTTCCCGCGGAGGAGGGAGTCCGATGTGGGACTCGATCCCAGGACCCTGGGATCATGACCTGAGCCGAAGGCAGATGCTTAACGACTGAGCCACCCAGGTGCCCTGAGGATTTTTTTAAAGAGATTTTTTTTTTTTCCAGAGAGTTAAGGGGAAAAATATTTTTGTTCTCAGAGTTTTTCAGTATACTTTCCAAGCCATCAAGTTTCTAAATATAACCAAAGATGATGATTTTACAAGCAACCCAATATAAACATAGTAGATGTTTATATTTCTACATTAACAACATGACATTGGAGCTGCAAAAAGTTCTTTCGAATTGGCTATATTTTATTTTTCTAAAAAAATAAGTCCCCTTTTGAGTCCCCTTTTAAAATATAACACCACCTCCACCCCATCCTGGCTTTAAATTTCAAGAGAAGTCAGAATTTAGGATGGAGGACAGAGGGGTGGAGGAGCAGGAGGGAGGTGGGGGGTTAAGCATTTGGGCAGGAAGGGGAAGGGGAGGACTTTTTGCAGAGCCTTACCTAAAAGTAGTACTGCGTAGCCTTTAATGTGTATTTGGATCATCTAGGGATCTGGTGAAAGTGCAAGTCTAGGCTGGGACTTCCGGATGATGCCCAGGCTGCTGGTCCATGGACAACTTGGAGCAACAAGGCCTTGGAGTCAGGGAATTTGCTCTTCCACCCTGGTCTGTCTGCGTTTCACTGGCCATGACTTCTTTCTTTCTAACCTAACATTTTTTTGTCAGGATACACAATAGCAGAAGCTTTTCAGAAAGTCATTTTACCATATACAAGGTCCAGTTTAAGGCCCTATGCACGGAAGTGAGGAAAATGGGAAACAGAATAGGGAATGGGCAGGAGCCCCTGAGACACAAATGGTATTTGTTAGAAAGGGTGTGGCATTATGGAAAAAGCCCTGGACCGGTTGTCGGAAGACCTGGCTTCATTAACCAGCTGTGTGCCTTTGTGCCAGTCACTTCTCTCCAGTCTTCCGTCTCTTCTCCTGTCAAAAGACTTGGTCTACCTGGCTTCTAAAATCTTTTTGGCTCTGACACTTGAGGAGTCTATAAAGAGAGCCTATATCAACAGGAGGGAAGAAAAGAAAGATGCGCCACCACACACATAGCTGCCAAGGATCCTGTACATGTGGTATCATAATGGAAGAATTTTTCCCTTGTCTGCCCAGATGCAGAAATGTTGGAGTGAGAGACTGGGAAACATGCCTAGTATGAAATCCTAGTACCCTGACTTCCTGGTTTTGGCAATTTAGTCTTGGGAATCTGTCCCAGGCTCTGTAAAGTAAGACAGACCATGAAAACAGGCCCTCTAAGAACTTCAGTGTGGCTCTGGCAGCCTTTAGATTCTAAGGTCCTCAATCCTTGGGGCCACCCTCATGTTTTACCTCATTCCCCTACACTGATCAGCAGCCAAATTCTGAAGCCACTTGAGCTTACAGTCTCAGCCAAATGGCCCTACTGCCTTCCTGTTTGTGAAAGCCTCCAATTCCCAGCCTGTGGCCAAATCCAATTTTTGCAGCACTCAACCCTTCCCCCAAGATCACCTCTGGACTTGAGTCTCCCACATGCTGCAGACTCTTTTTGGGCCTATAGCAGCCAAGCCTAAGGGAATTGGAAAGGCCAGATGGTGACACTTCTTTCTCTACATTTAAAATCGTCCTATGCTCAAAGGGAGGCTCGGCCCCTAGTTTGATAAGCACAGGATGGGAAAGGGACCTGCTGTGGTGAGATTACCCAGACTCTGGGGCAACCTCCTACAGTTCTGCCTCACACCCCGACAGACCTTTTCACTTACTCACCTTTTCACTTACTCAACGGGCCTACGGCTATTCTAGCAAAGACTCCCAAGTCATCCATAAGCATGCTAGCATCAGACTGCTTCCTGTGGTTTAAGGGCAGGCAGCCTCCATCCATGTTCCTGGGACCCCATCCCCCAGCAGACATTCACTCAGGGCATGGTCTCCTGAGGCATCCATTTGGGATGCAGGGACCCTGTGGGCTGCGAGAGGAGTTATTTTTCCCTCCGGCCCCAGCCTAGGCTGTGCTGAATGATGGGGCTGGCTAGCACAAAGACTGCTTTTTATGTTGGTCCTTGGTATTTTTGGTGTCTGGAAAGAGCTTCCTTTCCTCCCATAGTTAATTAGCAGCATAGGAGCATTTCCCTTTCCTCAACAGAAAGTCTTTTCCTGCCCCTGGGGCCAGGCAGAAGGGTGGCAGGTGTGGCTAAGCGCTCCCTGAGGTTAACCTCAAACTTCAGCTTAGAGCCACACTCGATGAGAAGCAAAGTGAAAAGCAGGGTTAGCTTCCATTGGGGCAGAGTTGGCAAGTGGGCACAGGCCCCTGGCAAGCCAGGGGATTATTTTCTAGTCTCCCAATCAGGTGAGGGGACAGGAGAAGGGGGTGGGGAACCAATGTGTGTTTGACAAGTTTGTGAATTGTTCCTATAGCAAAGGCTTTTAAAAAAAAAAAACAACAACAGAGTGGAGCTTTATATATGTGAATGAGAGGCTCACAGAAGGACCTATTGTCAGGAGGAAAAATTGCATGAGTAATTGTGCATGACTTCAGTCTTCCCAGTAGAAATGTTAGGTGTGTTAAGGATGATTGTGGACATTCCAATGTTTTCAGCGTGGGGAAGAGAGAGGAGGGAACTCCTGAGAGGTAAGGAGGCAGGTTGTCTAGCAAGGCAGGGGAGACAGGAACCTAAAAAGCTCTTCCTCTACTTTTCTTGTTGGTTCCCATTCTTCCTCTACTTAATTAAGGTATCACCTCCTACAGGAAGCCTTCCTGCCCCTACCTCCTTCTCTCACCTCCCACTTTAGGTGTCCTTGATAGGTATCTACTGTATTATCATTATTTACTAGACCGTGATACTACTGATAGTTTATAGAGCAGTGGGCATGGACCCCAGCACCGGATTCCACCACTTCCTAAATGTATAACTCTGGCCAAATTACTTAATCTCTCTGTGTCTCAGTTTCCTCATCTATAAATGGGAGTAATACCTACCTTCTAGGGTTGTTATCAGGATTAAATGTGTTAATACATATAAGGTGCATAGAATAGTGCTTGACATATGGTATGTACTCAATAAATATTAGCAATTATTATTTTTATTTGTATCCCCAGTCGTTAACACAATTTGTAATATATCATGGGGCAGTGGTTTTTCAACCCTCGTATGTATCATCATTGCTTGAGCAGCTTTAAAAATATATGAATCTGGGCACCATTGGTCTAGGAGTGAAAACTGATCGTGGTATTTGGGGAAAGTTCCCAGGTAGTTTTATTTTGCCTCCAAAGTCACAGGTGCTCAATGAATAGATGAATAGATGAACCAAATGGAATCAGAAGGAACCAACACAGGTGACATCATCCTTAGGAATGTCAAAGCATGATTCTGTCCCCTTCAGAAAGTTTATTATTTCCTGAGGCAGACTTCCAAAGAATGATATGACAGTGAATGTATCATAGCATATTGTAATTAGTTGCTTTATCGAGTTGGTTTACAAAATTTAAACTGACTGCGGCTCATAAAACAGGAAGTCAGGCATCTCACAATGGAAATAATGAACTATAGCCAGGGCTCTTACTCTCAAGGCTGGTATATATTAATGGGGGAAGTAAAGATAAACATACTGAAAACTAGAGAAAACGAATACAGCAGAGACATTTAAATAGTATGTAGCGGGATAAAGTCGTCTTGGAGTCAGATTTAGGCCTATTTCTTATTAGCCATCTGACCTCAATTAATTCAATTAACCTTCCTGAATTTCAGCTCCCTTATCAACCAAATGTGGATTCTGATGCCTATGTTACAGGATTGTTGTGAGGCTTCAGAGCGATACTATACATAAGTGTCTGGCACTTTTTATTAAATGAAATCATCTTAATGAACAAAGAGCTGTATTCCAGCAGCACAATTTGTTGTCAGCAATTTCATTATCAAGAGGAAAGATCATATGAAACAGGACTCAAATCAAAATGGAGAACTAAACATGAACATAGACCCGCCCTACCACCATAAACCCCTTAAAGGACAGACAAGATAGCAGAAAAAGCAGCGGAAATTATGATAAAAATCTGGATAGAAAGCAGTTAGGATCACACCGATAGACAACTCAGGATGAGTATTAACATACTCCAAAACACTCGTAAGGTAAATTTCTTTGAAGGTGGGGGCAGGGAATCTCCTAGCTGAGTGGAAGTAAATAGAAAGAATACGAGGGGTTGGAAAGCACTCGTCAGGATTATTCATCTTTAAACTGCCCTGTGCACAACAGACCTCTCTCCTCTTCCCTCCACTTCAGAGAGCTATAGGTCAGGGGTAGGGGTCAGGAAGGTGGACTAAAACACAAAGCTTCACTCTAAGAAGGGAAATCCTCTGTCTGGGGAGGGTGTCTGCTGGTGTGTAAGGGCCTGTGAGAAAAGCAGGGCTGGAAGTAATCCTATCCAACTTCCATGGACACAGAGAGGAAAAAGGCAAAGCTGTTCCTGCCCAGCCTGTCAACTGTGGCTTCACTGAAGTAAAGGCCTCCATATTTTGGCATCTGGGGATGGGCAAAGGACCAAGTGGGGAGGAGGGTGGTCCCCGAGCCTACCTCTCTGCCTGCTCTAAGCACCTTACTGGGAAGTCTGCAGTCAAAATGACCTACTCACAGAGTCCCTAGTAACCCTCCATTCACCAAAGGAGACTAAAGGGGAAATGGACAGCTCAAAACTGAAGTGAAAACTTAAACAAAATACCTGCTAATTAGCCCATTCTTCAAACATAGATATGATGAAAAACCAAGGATC